GGGACAGCCAGCACAGCCTGGGTCACCCTCATTCCCTCCTGGAGGAGCTGCCTTGCCTGTGTGCTGGAGGGTGAGGGGATGCTGCGGGCGTTGCTGTGTGCTGGCTCCTGTGAGCCTTCTCCTGATCCATCCCCTCCTCCTAGGGCCACTCCTCGGGGACGTCCCCGATGTCATCCAGTGTCCAGTCGGGGACACCCATCACCAACGACCTGTTCAGCCAGGCCCTCCAGCACGCCCTGCAGGCCTCAGGGCAGCCCAGCCTCCAGGTCAGTGCCGCCCCTGGCCTCCTGTGTCCCCCTGGCATCTCCCCGCTGCCTCCTGGCACGGAGCTAACCTGGGAGGGGCAGCACTGGTGCCTTTTGGGCTACCTAAAAACAGAGTCCAGACCAAATTAAGTTATATTTATTGAAGGGCATGTTTGGGGTATGTCTGGGGCAGATGAAGCTGCCCCCACACCAGGGGCTACACCCAAAAATGAACAATGGCTCACGGGTTTCCATACTTCTATGAATTTGGTCCATTTGCATATTGGGGGTTGATCTTCTAATTAAACCTTCAGGTAATTAAGTAATTTACCTCAAGTTTCTAAAAACAAGAGGCCAGACAAAATTAAGAGAACATAAAGCAGTTGTATTTATTGAAGGGCTTTCAGATGTTTTTGAGGAAGATAAAGCTGCCCCCCCCCCACCAGGGGCTGCACCCAAAAATGAACAATGGCTCACAGGTTTTCATTCTTCTATGAATTTGGTCCATTTGCATATTGGGGGTTAATCTTCTAATTAAACCTTCAGGTAATGAAGTAATTTACCTCAAGTCTCTAAAAACAAGAGGCCAGATAAAATTAGGAGAATAAAAAGCTGTTATATTTATTGAAGAGCCTTTAGGTACATTTTGGGCTGATAAAGCCACCCAGAGGCTACACACAAAAATGGACCACAGGTCACAAGTTTTCAGACTTTGATAAATTTGGACTAATTGTATAATGGGGGTTAATCTTCTAATTAAACCTTCAGGTAATGAAAGCAATTACCCCAAGTTTCTAAAAATAAGAGGCCAGACAAAATTATAAAAACCTGTTATATTTATTGAAGGGCCTTTAGGTATGTTCTGGGCTGATAAAGCCCCCAGGGCTACAAACAAAAATGGACCACAGGTCACAAGTTTTCAGACTTCTATAAATTTGTATATTGGGGGTTAATCTTCTAATTAAACTTTCAGGTAATGAAGTAATTTACTCCAAGTTTGCTACTCTGACTCACTTTTGTTTGCATTTCTGGGCTGTGAGGCAGTGAGGTGTCCTTGGTTCCCAGGCCTGGAGAGGAATTGTTGTGTCTGCCCAAAGTGGGGAAGCAGCAGCTCACACTCTGTGTGGATTTCAGAGTTATACACCAAAGAATTGCAGGATTGCAAATGTATGAAAAATATAAAAGCTAAACTCCTAAGGCATCATCTGAGCCACTGCAAAAGTCCTGGGTGGAACTGGGATGGAGGTGTTATAAATGCATATTCTATTGTTGGCTTTTTGCAAGTGTTAAGATAAATATTATGTGTATAATGTTAAAATAGCTTTATTTTTATTTCTGCTATTTACAAAAAACTTAGACATGGTAGTAGTAGTTAATCTAGTTATAAGTGAACTGTTTAATCAAGGTAAAGTTCAGTAAACATATAACAAAGACCTTGCTATTAATAACTATTAATTCATATTATATGAATTCATATGAATTCATATTAATTAACGATCAACATTTGCCATCTGAAGAAAGTATAGACTAAAAGTAATAAAGAAAATAAGTCAAAACCACAACTAAGAAACATGCATACAATAAAAAAACAAACACAAAAAGCCATACAAAATAGTTTCTAAAATGTATAGACTAGTTTATAGAAAAAGATAAATGTACATAAGAATCTCTGAGTATACAAGTTAATGTAATAGTAAAAATCTTTAAGAAATAATGCTAAAACTAAGTGTGCTCTTGGGTGAGTGCCAAGATACACCCAGCATAATCTTTACTGTCTTTATCTCCTACTGTCCTTCATTAAACTTTTAAATTTTACCAAAAAAAAAAACAAAACCAAACCACAGAGAGAGAGGGGTGGTGGCTTTGGGGACTTTGCAGCATCGCTGAGCTTCCGGGAGCTGTTTGCACAGCAGCTGGCTGAGCTGGGGCGCTGGGAAATCTGCTGGCTTTGCTGCTGGGGTTCTCACACCACCCCAAAACTTCTCCTCTTTGCTGCCAGCAGAGCCAGTGGCAGCCCCAGCTGCAGCAGCTGCGCGACATGGGAATCCACGACGACGAGCTGAGCCTGCGGGCCCTGCAGGCCACAGGAGGGGACATCCAGGCTGCCCTGGAGCTCATCTTTGCTGGGGGAGCCCCCTAACTCTGCTGCTGCGCTGGTGAGTTGCGCTGAGGCGCCAGCTGGGCTCGTTCTGTGCGTGGGCATGCTCCAAACCCTCTCTCCAACCTCCTCAGGACTCGGCACGGAGAAGGGAAGAGGTGGCTCGGTGCCGAGACGTGGCCCCTGCGGTCGTGCCATGGCTTTGCTGTCCCCACGCTCTGCCTGTTGTGTCATTCCCTGGATTAAAGGGGCCCTGCTCAGTTCCCTGCCTGCTGTGTGCCTCGTGCTCCGTCCTGGGCTCGTGTTGCGGGTCCCAGCAGGGCAGGAAGGGGAAGCGTTGCTGGCCACAAATCACACGTGGGACAGGACTGCTGGGAAACCCATCTCGAGCTGCTGATTTTCCACCAGCACTCTCACTGCATGCCTCTGACAATGGGAAGATGCCAGCAGCTCACATCCCCGGCAGCAGACCAAGAACTTAATGTTACAGCTCACTTTAAAAGCTTTTTGTCCAATCACACAAAGCAAAAGCAAAGTAGTTCTATCCAACCACTAATAAGCACATGTACCTGTGGTTAAAACAATGCTTGCTTATTTCCAATACAATACCTTATTACCTATTGCTTATTGCTTATTACCAATACAATACAATGCTTTTAAGCCTTAAGACACAATGTGCAGAACCCCGTTATTTAACTTAGAACTTCCTAATATCTCACTAGATATACTTTTCTGTAGCTTAGGGGGTTATTACTAGCCAAGTGTTAATACACAGACCATTGTTCTATTTGTCCTTACTTTTCTACTTATATAACTTTTCTGCTGAAGCAGGTATTGTATTGGAAATCTTATGGCTACCACTTAGCTCTAATGGCAGTTCTGCTGTCTCTGAGGCCTGCCTTGTGCAGCTTTCCCAAAACCCTCTGCTTTTAAGGATTCCCACAAGTGAAACTGCAGGAAAAGCTCTGCTTGGGTTGGAGCTGGTGCTTTTAGCAGAGGGCACGGCCAACCACGAGGTGACAAGTGACAAAAAAATGACAATGGCAAGCTGGAGAAATGCCCCTGACACAGCCGGGTGTGCCGCGGCTGCAAAGCCAATTAACAGCGTTTGCCTGTAATTGCAATCAGGAGGGGCTGGAGCTGGGCCCGGCAGCGCTGGGATTGCGCGCCGGGGTTAACGAGGCGTGCAAACGGCAGCGGGTTCTTGGGGCAGAGAGAACCTCCCGTGCTGCCCTCGGTGAAAAACGCCAGGCACTTGGCTTTTAAAATTTTAAAAGTTTAATAATAATAAAATGGTTATAACACAGTTAGAGGAATAAAGTTTAGAGTTAGGACAATTGCAAGACAATAAAAAGCAAAGAATTATGGACGTCTGGATGCTCTCGGACATTAAGTCATGAAAAGCATCCCTTGTGAACAAAGGAATAACCTTAACCCAATTCACTTGTTGCATATTCATACATCCCTCATGGTTATGCATACATTTTATTTAAAACAAGAAACTCTGTCTGTTGTACATCAACTGTTTCCTTTAATCCCCTGGTGTATCTTGAGTCTGAGCAAGGCCTGAAGAAATTTGATTTTTTTGATAAGAAGCCATCAATTCCTCTCCTTTGGAAGACTTAGGTGTTCCTCAAAGCGAGTATCCCATCCTAAAAAAAAAAACTTCCCCCATGTCTACAGTCTCTATTTTAACTTTATGTTGGAACCTAAAACTGTATTTAACACGCTACGTAAGAGAATTAATACAGCATAACTTTCAAACGTGACACATATAATATTCGCTGTAATATTTGCGAAAAGGAAAAGCCAATCGTAAAATATGCATGTTCCACACCTCTAATCCCGGTGCGAGCTCTGTGATCCTCACCGATTCCATCTCGGTGTCACCCAGCAAATGCGGGATTGTTCTCTGCGGGGAGCCCGGCGCTGATCGCCTTTAATCCTGTCCAGAGGATTAATGCCCCAGGGAAGGAGGAGCTGCTTTTGTGCTCAGTCTGCAGCAGATAAGATGTGATGGACATAAATGGCTTTCCTGACACCCTCCCGGGTCCCTCGGCACGCACAGGGATTTTCTGTGTAAGAAAACGGATTAATCCCTTCCCACCCCTGGATCCCTTTGCAGGGGCAGGGCAGAGCGCACGCACGGCGCCCTCCCTTCCCCACAGCCCCAATCCTCCGGGATAACCGCGGATTAGCCGGATCGCAGATGCTCCTGCCCGAAGCTGGGAAGCGTTTGCAGGCTCTGCTGGCCACCAGCACATCCAGTTTGCCTTCCTGCGCCACCTAAATTCCGCATTTAGGGCTCCTCGCCGTCCCAAAGCGGTGCTTTTCGTGCCGCTCCTGAGCTGTTCGATCCCTCTCTCGACCCGCGTTTGGCGTCGAGCCCTTTTCGCTGCTATTTCTGCTTCCCGACGCCCCCGGCGAGCTGAGAACTGCCTGGGTTTTTTGGGCTGGAAGTGACTTTTCCCAGATTTCCTTTCCCGAGCGGCAGGGCTTGGCTGGGAGCAGCAGCTCCAGGCACACGCACCGGCTGCAGCGAAGTTGGCAGCGCCGCCGCTCACGACATCGCCCCGGCTGAGCCGTGCCTGAGCTCGGAGGGAGCTGCGGCGAGGGGGAGAGCCTCTGCTGCTTCTTGCACGGCTGGGCAGCCACGGCAGCTCCGCTGCAGCAGCTCCTGCAGCAGCTCCTGCAGCGGAGGGGCAGCTCGGAGCGGGCTGGGAGCCGTGCTGCAGCCGCCCCGGGGCTGCACCTTCCTGCTCCCAGCCTTCAGCTGGAGGCAGTGCTGGCACATGGGAGGGATGCTCAGGGGCTTTGCAAGGGCAGGGAGCAGCACAACAGCAGGGAAAGGCTTGACAGTGCAGGGATAGGTTGGGTATCAGGGAGGAATAATTCCCTCTGAGGGCGGGCAGGGTGTCCAGAGAAGCTGTGCGGCCCCTGGCAGTGTCCCAGGAATGGTGGGAGGTGTCCCCGCCCGCGGCAGGGGTGGCTTTAGGGTCCTCGGCACTAAATGTGAGGAGACAGAGCAAACTGATGCCTGTTCCTTGTGCTCCATCCCTGGAGGTGCCCTGGCACCTCCCCCTCCCACATTTGGAGCAGGGTGTGATAGTAAAAGGGTTGAAAATCGTGGGGATTTGCGGTTAAAAGGAAAATTAAGCTTAGTAGGCCCTGAAAAGAAAATAAATACCCTGAGTACAGGAAGACTTTGTACCTTACTAGCACTGCACCTGTGCAGCTAGTACATGATAAATGATATAATTGTTAGATGTGATGATTGTTTAGTCATTAAATATAACTACTGTTTAATTGTAAGAATAATCATGAGAAACTGTGGTCAGGGACCTAAGAAAGATCATGAGGAACTCATAGCAATGTATACAATAGAACAATATAAGTTTAATAATTAATATGTAAGTTATATAACGATAGAATATAAAATACGTTCAGCTCGAAAGCCGTGTCGGAGTCAGATTTGGGTCGGTACCCCTGACTCCCAGAGCTTTCAATAAAAGCACCTGCATGGAATCATATCCCGTGATTCTGGGTGTTCCTGAACGCTGACAGGTGGATCTGCTCTGCTTGGCTCTCAGTTCATCCCTCTCCTTCCCCTGTGCCAGTTCCCACCACACTCCAGCCCAGCATCCCTGGCTGGGTTTTACTGGGAGCAGACTGGGAGCAGTGAAGTGTTGCCTGACCCTGGGAGAGCAGGAGGTCAGGCCACAGCTCCCCAACGTCAGCAGGGACCTTCTGTTTGTGACATCAAAGAGCTGCTCTTGGTCTGCTTCCCTGCTGGCCTGGCTGTGACAGCAGGGCTGGACAGGAGCAGCTGCTTTCCCTCCCGTGTTTTCCATAATCCTGTTTGTCATCCCGCTGCCTGACCCTCGCTGGACACCTGGTGGGGGTGGAGGTTTGGCCGGGCCCTGCACCATGTGTGCCCTGCTCTTCCTTGTCTCTCTCATTTTGGGCTGCTTTGTCCCTGCTGGTTAATTTTCCAGCAAAAAGGTGGAATGGAGGCAGAGCAGGGTCTCCCAGGTGGCTTTTGCAGTGCCTCAATCAATGTTGGAGAGGTTTCCGTGGGATAATGTTGGCTCCTTGCTCCCCCAGCCTGACTGTTCCCAGTTTGTCACATCCTGAGGCTCCACACCTTGCCCTGAGCACACATATTCCAGTGAATCAGTGAAGGTGACTTTCCCTGAGTCTCCAGGATTTGTTGGGCAGGTACATCCAGCAGGAACAGCAGCAGGAGTTTGTCTGGCACAGCCTTTGCCCATCAACTTTCTTTTTTGCAGAGGACTCGGTGGTTTCCTGGCTGCTTCCAGCTTCGTCCTTGTGGGAAGAGCCAAAACACATCAAAAATTGGAGTTTTTCTTCCTTTCCCAGCTCCGTGCTGGTTCAGTGAGCTGAGGGGTCTCAGGGAAGGGACAAAAGGAGAGGGGACAGAGGTGTCCTTGGCAATAAGGACATTTGGGTCTTACTCTTTCTCAGGGAAACTTTGGAGAATGGAGGAAGGTTCTTAATTTTTGGAGAGCTGATGAGGTGAGAACACGGAGACAGGGCAGGTGACACATCCCAGTGACCCATGTCCTGTGGGGTTTGCTGCCTTCCCTGGCATGAATCACCATTTTCCTGTTAGAAGTGACAAAAAAGGAGCTCTGATGTCAGCCCTCAAAAATCCCTTTTAAGGTGACAAAGTTGAGAGGCCCACGTGATCCACAATAAGAACCAGGCAACTATTTTAATTTGGTGAAAGCAGAAATGGGCTGAAAATGTCACCCTATGAGAATATTTCTATTTCCTTATGTTCCCTTTTATATTTATAGAGTTCTAATATTCATAAACGTGTCCCAAAATCCCTTTGAGAGGGTTTTTCCCCCTGCTCTAGCTCTGAAATAAGTGCTGATTTAAGAGCAGTGTCTGCTGGTTCAGCAGAGGTGAATTAATTCAGGTGTTGAGTTGGAGCTGTGGGGTTCCACTCCAGGAGCCATAAAAGCATCAGAGAAGATCCAGAGTTACTTTTTTTTTTTTTTTTTTCTGCAAGGGCCAAGAACAGAGACTGGAGCAAAACTTTGAAGTGGGATGAGCAGAGAAAAACCCATTTCTAAGAGATTTTCCATCATCTGGCTGTCAGAGGGTGGGGCACTTTCAGAGCCCACACGAGGTTTTTCCTTAAACTGGTCAATCGGTGGCTCCAGGA